TGCTTGTAGGTTGGAGGCCTTTGCTTGTCGGTTGGAGGCCTTTGCTTTTAGGTTGGAGGTTTTTGCATGTAGATTGGGCGCCATTGCTTGTAGGTTGGTGGCCTTTGCTATTAGGTTGGAGGCCTTTGCTTGTAGGTTGGAGGCCTTTGCTGTAGGTTGGAAGCCATTGCTTGTAGGTTGGAGGCCTTTGCTATTAGGTTGGAGGCCTTTGCTATTGGGTTTGAGGCCTTCGCTTGTAGGTTGGAGGCCTTTGCTTGTAGGTTTGAGACCTTTGCTATTAGGTTGGAGGCCTTTGCTTGTAGGTTGGAGGCCTTTGCTATTAGGTTGGGGGGCCCTTGCTTGCAGGTTGGAGGCCACTTCTATTAGGTTGGAGGCCTTTTTGTTGCAGTTTGGAGACCATTGCTTGTGGGTTGGACCTATTAGGTTGGAGGCCTTTGCTTGTAGGTTAGGTTGGAGGCCTTTGCTTGTAGGTTGGAGTAGGTTTGCGTCCTTTGCTTGTAGGTTGGTGACCTTTGCTATTAGGTTGGAGGCCTTTGCTTGTCGGTTGGAGGAAACTGCTATTAGGTTTGAGGCCTTTGCTTGTAGGTTAAAAGGCCTTTTGCTATTAGGTTGGAGGCCTTTGCTATTAGGCTGGAGGCCTTTGCTTGTAGGTTGGATTCCATTGCTTGTAGGTTGGAGGCCTTCGCTATTTGGTTTGAGGCCTTTGCTTGTAGGCTGGAGGCCTTCTGTTAAAAAAATGTACATATTGTCAAAAATGACATTATTGTATATATTTCTCAAAACTGGCAAATTGAAGTTGTCATGTTGGGTTGGTATGTTTGTTGCACACAGCTTGCCATGTTGCCACAAACCATTCAAGAAATTGCTCCAATATGGTTAACGTTGCAATGGCCAAAACATGGCAATATACAAGAAGCACCTGTGACCATGTGTTTATTAGCAATACTTTTCAATATGTTGTGTTAATTTTGACAACATATGTTTTTTACAGTTTGCATACATGTTGATGTCTAATTCTTTTGTATATGCATGAACAAGTGTGCACTGCAAAATGTTTGTGGCCAGTTTTCATTTATCAAAACATGTTTTCATCCTATTTTCCATGAGTTAGTAACATCATGGCAGCAATGCCAACAATGCTAACTGTTAGCAGAGTTAGCAGTGTTAGTGTTAGCCTTGCTATCTTAGTTAATTAACTTTTACTAAAAGTTAATATCATATATGTAAGTGTTAGCATTGTTACACCATATTACAGCTATGTTGCAACTATGTTGTGACCATGTTAGCTATTTCTCATAACTACCATAACCTGTTATAAAAAAGCGGACAATGTAAGTGAAACTTGCACGTCTTCTTCTCCAATACCGTTGGTTATCACTTTGGGTTCAAAAAGCATCACCAACATTCATGGTTGGTGGTATAGAGCAAACAAATGGTATTTGTGAAGCCTTTGGTTGCATCCAGGCCACTGAACTTTTGTAGGAAATCCAACATGGAAAATTTTGGCCCGCCTGAAAATGTTTTCACAAATTGACTGAGGTAGGTCAAAGCTTCAGGCTGGCAAGTATTGGCAGCTTGGACTTTCTCCTTGGCTTCATGAAGTGGTACATTGAGGATGAACAGGTGGGCCAGCTGGGCAGCAAGCTCTAATTCATTTGGTGCCTTGGAGATGGAATTGGCAGAGTTCATGGCCCCTTGCAGCAGGGTGGGTAGCATGGGCCATTGGCCTTCCACCAAATGGCTCAAAATGAGCCATGGCCACCCATTCTGGATGAGGTCCCAGGATGGATCATCTTTGCGCACTTCCATGGGAGGCTGCTCATCTGGCAGGCAACCATGGTTGATGGCCCTCAGAAAAGCTGTGGTGTGGCTGGTGGACAAGCTGAGGAAACCTCAGCATGGACATGAACAAATGGAAGCAATGGAAGCATGGAATGCCAGCTAATTGTTTGTGATTCTGAAAGCTGACAAAAAGCATAAACCTTATAGCTGTCATGGCAACCAAAGAACGCTCAGAACCTGTCATGGGTGCCATGGCACCATTGGCCTCCTTGATGAGGTTCTCATTGGCCATCAGCTGCTCAGACTTCTTGGCAGGGTCTGGTGATATCTCTATGGCCATGGATTCTCCAAGGAATTGCCTTTTCATACCAATGGCCATCATCTTCTGGCCTTTGTCCCACATGTCCAACCATGAAAGCATTTGGTTGGCCCTGTTGTGGGGGTGGCACAAAACTTGGCTTGGTGTGACTACAGAGTGGTATAGGCCAAACCTTGCTTCTTGAGAATGTGGACAACCTGGTCCACCATTTGGTTCATTGGCAATTTGGATGCCAATAGATTGTTTATGGCTTTCACACGCTAAGTTGGTTTCACAATGATGCAATGCCATCAGGCTGCCAAGCAATGGTGGAATGCCACAAATTGGCACACAGCATCTTTCCAGTAACTGTAGTTCATTTTTTTAGCCATGGCCTCTGGTGATTTGCTACATCTATGGCAGCTAGTCTTTGGGAACCGATGCCTTCTTCTGGTAAGGCTTCCTTGTCTTCAAAGTATCTTGGTGCTCTTGCAAGAGCTCAAACATTGGCACCAGCTGGCTTTCTTCCAATGGCATCACCACACCTGATTTGGTTGGCCTCTGCCCCTGCATCAAGCACCCAATGGTAGCTTCACCCAGAGGTACTTGGAGAATCTCTGGGTCATCAAGTCTTCTTTTCTTGGCCTTTGTCCTCTGGGTGCTCTGGTCACTTTCTTCATAGACAGTCTCTTCTGGCTGGTCTTCACCAGCTCCTCTGGCCCACAGTTGGTTCCTCTTGACAATGAATTCTTGGAAGCCTGTGTGGTTGGAAAAAGAAGCATTCTTGCCCAGCTTGCCATAAATGATTTGGCTTCAACCATTGGCGGCCACCATGCTCTTGAATCAAATTGGCAGGCACTGGGATTGCTTTGCAATCATTGCAGCTAATGGTTGTGGTTGTTTGGATGTCAACCTTCATGTTCACCCTTGGGCAAAGTAGCTGCACTTGATGATTTTTTACAAAATTGAATGCCATGCTGGCTGATTATTCTTAGGGTGGTTTATTGAAAAGTTCACACTAGAATAGAACTTTTTTAATTTTCTAAAACAAAAAACTTACAATGTGGTAGATATTTTTCAATACTTATATGTTATTTGATTTTTACTAACTCTGCCTAACTCAAAATAAAAATTAACATTGACTTAACACGGTTAGCTAAAAGTTGACAATTTTTACTAAAACATCTACTTAATTTAACAAGATATAATTGTTTAAACCCTACTTTACACACAGTTATAACTAGTTCACATACATTTATAGTTTGTGATTAAATCATTTAACATCGATAACAAATTAAAAAACAGATTAATTAAGTACTCCAATCTCGAGCAGGAGGGCGTCGTGCCATGTTGAAGATGTAGCGCACGTCCCAAAGTAGTAGAGCCGGGAAAGCTGAAGATGGAGGAAGACATGTCGTGAGAGAAGAAAGAGAGATCAAATGACCATGTATGGCGTGTATGCCAAAGAAATGTACCCAATGACATGAACATGTCATGAAAATGAAATGCAAACATGACGCCATGACGTGGATAGATAATTAGCAGGAAGTCGGCGCGCAGCAATATTTTGTCAGCATGAAGCTGGAGTATTGTTCAGGTAGAGCGGCTCATAGATCGGGAGCGAGATCGAGAGCGGGTAGTAGGGACCACGGCAGTAGTAGATGGCTGTGAAGGTTCCATGCGTATTGGAGGAGGAGTGCATCCCGGTTGACCGACTGTCGTACGAAGTAGAAGGCGGTCTTGTTCCCGTGCAAGATGAGTGGTGGCCACCGGAGGAACTAAACCCACAGATAAGTCCAGTACACTGAGAAGCTCACGAGTAAAAACCAAAGCGGTGTGAATCCTGCGACGGGACTGTTCCATCTGGGAGGTGATGCCTTCGAGTCGCACAATCATGTAGGGATCAGTGATCTCCACCGCATCCAACACATGAAGGGACGGGTCCAAGGAGCCATAGCGAAGTGGTAGAGCGCGATACATCTCCAGCAAGTTGTGGTATAGAAGCAGCACTTCACGATATAGAAGAAGATGAGCCCGGTAGGAGATGCCCGAGAGTGGTTGTCGAGGATGCGTGTCGTCCCGCCGAACAGGTGCGTCAGCGGGAGGAGCATATGGAGGTAGTAGAAGAGGGTCCATGTGTACACAAAGTGCGAACAACACACCCGATGCTAAAATGCTGCAGGGGAATCCAAAAACGATCAATCAGCAAAAAGGAACAAAGTACCAAAGACAAAGAAGAACCAAGGCGCAAATGATCCTTTTAGTCCATCTAGCGAAGATCAAAATGCGGCAAAAGGGGGCAATATCAGCTGTCGTATAGTGCCAGTACGCATCCTCTCTGGTCTCGGAAAGGCGCTGCGCGGGTCAGTCAAGTCGAGAAGGGGATCTTGAGCGGGGACGACCGCCGGAGTGCTGAGCATCGTCGGGGGAAGTAAAGTAGTCGAGGACCAAGAGACAGGACGAGTCATAGGCCTGGCAGGGCGCTGCGCGAAGACTTCATGCGCGCGATGAAGACGAACTGGATCAACAGGTGGTACAAGATGTGAGGATAGATGAAGTACCCCAAGAACTTCCTGAACGTGTTCTAGTGCTGAAGCAACCATAGTGCGTGCTTGAAGAATCTGAAGTAGAGCATCACTGAGTTCCCTGCGGAGAAAAGGATGAGTGAGTTCAGTAGAATCAGGATCGCGGAAGGAATGATCTAAACAGCCGTAGCGAAAATGAAGCGTACGTATAGTATCTCACGCAGGCTGTAAAAGAGCATGATCGCTTCACGGTAAAGAATCAAATGAGCACGTTGAGAGACCTGGGGATGACCGGGTAGTTCAGGATGTGAAACCACGTCCGTTGAAGATCGGAGGAATGGCGGCGCGGGGAGGAGGGATGTAGTCCATCGAAGCAAAATGTGGGCCCAAATATTCAAGCCACGTAGCCATAGTCAGGTGGATAGCGACCCAGTCAAATGACGGCGCTGATGAACCAAAATATATGCAAGGCAACCGAATCGTGTACAACTCAACACAGGCGCAAATGTCCGAAAACGGGGAATGCAAGACACGTGACAGTAGCCCAACCTTTGTGAAAGAATCAGCGTGACATGAACAATGACCAACGTGAAAATGCCGACATGTCACATTGTCAGCATGGCGTAAATCATGTCCAACGTGAGATTGTCAAAATGGCATGTGAGTCATTTTCTATATCAAAAGACAATGTAACACAACAGGCGTTCAATGCTCATGAGGAACGGTTCGACCGAAACATGTATGTAACAGCAAGTGAGGAAGAGAGGTAGAGAAAGAGGGGAGGGAGCAAAAGAGGAGGAGACCATAGTCTGGTCCTGAGTGGCTGAGGCGTGGGACTGGCGTCACTGACGCCGATGAAGCATACTGCGCCCCCTCCGGGCGAATCGCGACCCGCTATGGGTCTCATCACGACTCGCTGTGAGTCTAATCATGGCTTGCGTAACGCTGCCTGCTCCAAGTGTCGACAACTCACGTCTCGGAACCGTCTGACTAACGTCTGACAACTCACGACCCCCTGTGGGTCCAAGACACGCCACCAGGCCGATAACTTCGACTACCCTGGATTCGATCCAGGCCACGAGAGGCACCCCGGGCCATCTCGGGCTCCCATGAAGGGAGACACACTTATCAATATGTGTACGTTCGAAAAGGCCACAGGTGAAGATGCCTGAGTATGCCACACGCCTAAAAGGTCAGGTTAATGCAAAGGAGTTTAGCCAGGTCCCCAAGATGCAACATGACGGTCAAGAAGCCAACGTTGAAATCTCGAAGGAAATCACAAAGCCAAGTTTACAAAAGGAAAAGCATCTTGTTGTAGTTACCAGCAGAGCCCAGAAGGAAATAAACGTTGTTGTAGCAGGTACGTCTGAAAGGCGTCCCCTGCAGATTTCACGACCTAACCATCACTGTCTTCGTTGGGCAGTGAGTGATGGCGGCCCAATGCCCCCCTGCTGACATAGAAGACTGTCAAAAAACTGCAAGAACAGACCTGTGATTCCAAGGTTGTCACGCACACACTTCTACATACACCCAAGCAAACAAACACACACACACACATGCGCATACGCATGCACACACGCACAAACACACCATGCATTTGACTTGTAGTTCTTCTACTTTCATGTGCTATAAAATGTTTTCGGGCCCCTCGGCGTCTATTTTTTGAATCCTTCTCATTCTATCTTCTGCTATTTTTGAAACACACTTTGGTCCATGGCACACGAGTTCGACACATTTGCCATATGCTCTCGGACCACTGTCGTCTAGTTTTCCTTGCCTGTAGGACAGTGAGATTTTAAGCACTTGGGACTCGGGCCAGTGCTCACGACCTAGCTCACCCAGAGAGTCCCAACGTAGCGTGGGCAACTTTGAACATTTGCTTCTCCACGGTTGCAACACGTCTCCACTTGTAATGTGAGTTTGCGCGGGCTTTCGTGGGTTTTCAGGTTAAAGACTGAATTTGTGTTGGTGGATTTGAAAACGGAATAAATGCAGCTGGCCTATAGAGAGAATGTCGAAGGTCCAAAGAAAAGAAAAAATGGAAACACGTTAACATGCCAGATCTTGATTCAACAATTCAACGATGTGTTCAGTTTCAGCAACTCCAACGCACGTGCATTTCATGCCTTGCTTTCTCTCCACACCTTAATTGATTGATTGGTGCATATCCAGAGCCGTTGCGGCCTTAGAATTGGTTCGTGGCCGCGGTCGGCCGAGCTATCTCAATTTCGCCAAGAGCATGGCGCCGGGCAAAAACAAACCTTGTCAAAAATCTTCCGCATGTCCGGCGTCGAGTGATGCAGCAGCAGCTCACTCCGAAGCACCGGTAGTGCCGGAGATGTGTTTCATCTGCAACGATGGACCTGCTTCAGTCACTGCGCGATTGTGTGTGCGCCTCACAAAGAAAGACTCCAAGTTTTCTCAATATGCTGCTCAGCTCCTTGATGAGTGCCTGCGAAAGGTACCAGGTTCACCCGCCCGGAAAGATTTGAAAATGGTTTCTCGCGAACACAGCGAGACTCTGCTAGAACTCCATCAAAAGGCCAAATCGCTGGGCAAGCAGGGGTTCTTGCAAGAGAGCGTGGCTGCAGAGGGTGCCTCAGACAATATGAACATCCAGGCAGTTGGTGTCGGGAGCAATGAGAGGCTACGAGAACGGGCTTTCTGGTTGGCGATGAGTACTGCCATCATTTTGCGGTTGCCAAAAGAATGTGAGACCATCCTAAATGTCTGGGGCGAAGGTGTGCGAAACATGGTGAAGGAGGCGTGGAGTCGATTTCGGTCCAT